TATCATTATATGCTCAGGTAAGAGAGAATGTTAATTATCTGCAGTGTAATCTTCCGCCGTCTCCCTTAAAATGCTTCTATTATCGTTAATTAATTAATATTAAAGCAATACAGAACCTTGGCCTAAATACTATCCAAATTCAGAAAATTCAGGGCCTTCAGAACTAGATTTGAATGCTACAGAAATTCACTATTCTTGATGTAGCTTGCTGCCACCAGGCACTGCAGAAAACAGGGCAAGAAGTTATTATACTCTTTGGAGTTGTTACTCTTACACAGTGGGAAAAGACTCAGCTGTATACACACACAAGTCAGAGATGGAAAAGATCCCCACCACATTATCCAGTCCTTCTCTTGGGGCCAATGTAAAAAATGCGCTCACCAGCATGTTTGCTAGTTGTTTGTACTGCTTACTTTTAAAAGTCCCCAGAGGTGGAGCTGCCCCACCTTCTCCCTGAGGGGCTGTTCCCCAGTCCCATTCATTTGACTGTCAGGAAAGGGTTATTACAGTCAAGTGCTATTCTGCTCTCAAAAGTTACTATATAAAAAATAACCATTTAATTTCACATACATATTCCCTGGGTATCAGAATTGCATCCATTTATTTCAGTGACTCAGACACATGTGTACTATTTCTATTCCTGTTACATCTACAGAGCAAAAACAGTTCAGAGGCAAGAAGTTGGCTTCTATTCCCTATTGTATGTGGGCAGTAGAGTTGGTCTCTCAGTCTGTGTACCTACAGTGGTGCAACCACATAGATGAACATAAAGCAGCCTAACACTTTCTTAAAGCCCATTTCAAATGGTTGGGCCTCAATTATATGTGGTAATATGGTTCAAAAACAAAAGGTCAGGGGGAAAAGACCACTGACTCAGATTGCAGAAGGAGTTTGCACCACTGGTATGAAGAAATAAGCAAGCACCTTTTTTTTTTTTTTTTTTTTAAACTGTGCCTAGTAAGTGCTGCTGATTAACATGCAAGTACTTTACTGAAAGTATACTACAACTCCTGATAATTTTCATGCAGTTAATTGTTTCACCCATACTGAACACAGTACACTTTCAAACAGCCTACAGTGTACAGTCCCTCCATTATGTCATTTTTTGGACCTATGCAGTGACTCAGTCCAATTCTTACCACACTATTTATCTTCCAAAGTTTATGCCTGACCTTTAATCTTTTTCATAATGTTTTTGCAAGAAATAGAAACAATGAAACAACTGGATAATTCTCAGCAACTTAAAAAAGGTTGTGCTTTGAGTAGCAAATCTTATCTTTGAATAAAGAGAAGACACTCGGTTCCTCATAAATTGTAACAGGATGACCAGATTTCACTCAAGACAGATTTTGTGATCTCACCACAGGAGCAATGTATTTAGCCACGTCAGTACACCAGAACTGCCATAACCAGTGCTGCGAATGCTGCTCCTGGCTGTCCTGGGTGATCCATGTGGTTTCTCTCCTTCTCTCACTACAGAAACACCCCGACTTTTTGTTATTATGGTCTGTAAGTATTACTTTCCATTCTCTCCTTCCCCCTTTTTCATGGATGACAGATTCAATTCAGTCAGACGAGATCTCAGACAATGCACAAAGGAAATGAGCTCACCTAGCATACCTGGTGCCTCCCAATATTTCAATCCACTGAAAGAGTTATAAATAAAATCTCTACAGGATAAGAACATAGGTGCAGGAGGATAAAGGAAGGGTGTCAAAAGAATGCTGGACCATTTCACTGCACTGACTCAGGAAAATGATGAGCGAGACTAAAAAGACAAAATCTGCAACAATTTTCCTTGTGGCTGTTTCTGCGTATCTTTCTAAAAGTAACCCCCCCCCAAGAGTTACTTACGTCTGTGGAGCTGGGGCTAGGCAGGGACACAGGCTGAACAGCTGCAGGAAAAGTAAATGTGGTCTCTGTCTTTTCATTTTCAGGGGAGTCAGGATAACCAGACAGAGGGGACGTGGGGGTCAAAGCCCCAAACCCCAGCACCGTGTTGTATTTAGGTGGACGACCTACATATTAACAACAGAGAACACACACAAAAAAAAAAAAAAAAAAAAAGAAGCAAAACTGATCTTACATACCTTTGGCCAGTGGTCCTCATTGGCTAGCGTGAAAAAGGAAATGATGCAGCACAGAGAGGAAGTTAATATAAAAGTTACAAGTGGAAGGACAGAAGCAAAGATTTAACATTTTTTAGAAATCTTTAAGTAGAATTTTACAAGGAAAGAACATTTAAAAGATGTATTTCAGAAGGAAATAGAAATAAGCTCTGTAGAGGTTCAAATAATCATTCCCACAAAAGCAGCATGGGGACACTTGCCACCCCCAGAAATGAGGCCATTCAGTTTTTAGGGAAAACATGTTGGCATCAAAGCTAGAGAGAAGCTACAATAACTACTATTAAATCCTTTCTCCTGTTATCCCACACCTCCCTATCTTTCTAGTGCCAGCATAAATCTACACAAAGGTTAAGCCCTTTATCAGAGGCCAACACTCACCAACCCCCTCCTTCTCCTCCCCCTTATTTAAACCCACTCACCCACAGATCAACACTTTCTACCCTACTGGTACATTTTTAAAATTAGGCTACCTTAAGAACAGGTCCTGTTGTCTGCCCCGTAATGCCAGCACTACCAGTTGTAACCTTCCACTGGTCTTCTCCTGTAACCCTCCCCATGTTCTGTGTTCTTTCTTAAACTTTTTCAGTCAAGTATGTTTGGCTATCCTCATCTCCTATACGCTCCTTCAGACTAACAGAAGTGCAAAGTGTGCGCTAACAATTTTCATAAAATTATGTATGCAAAGCAAGACAGAAAAAAACCAGTATGTAACCATCATTTCTGCCTCCCTTCTCCAGGGTAATTTATGGATATGTAAACATAAAGGAGTTAGGATCTAGGAATAATTCCCCAGATCTTATGTTTACAGATTGTCAGTCTATACCTATTAACATGCTAAACCTTGCATTTAAGGTCTGGATATGTTCCAGAACCAAGTATGTCCTTGGAAACGGATTTCTGATAGTGATGTCCATGTCTGAAATTTCTGACATGCTCAGCACCATCTAGAATTAAACTAAAGCTCTCAAGGGCACATGCTTGAACAAGCTTTTCACCTAATATATTGCTATACTAAAACACAAAACAAACGTATGCATCTAAATCTTTTGTCAATTGAAAATGCGTGCTACTAATTTGGTGCCGATGCAAGGTACAGGCTCACAACAGGACGTGAGAAAAAAAATGAAAGTATAATAGCAGCCAGTGTGCAAAAACAGGCTAAGAGAGTATCAAATACAAAAGCATGCAATAATTTTCATTGATACAGTAATTGTTCACAATGAGTTATTTCTTAATTCTATTTTTAGAATTAAGAAATCATTACTAGGAGAAGGAACATTTACTTATCCACAGAGTAAATGCAAAACTCTCTCTACAAAATCTACATGATATCATTTAAAAAAATGCATTTAATTTAACGTTATTAGAGGATGGTAGTAGAGACTGATGTCTTTTATTTAGAAACAGCATAGCTGCAGAAGTGTCAGCTTTGCCACATTGCCAGCTGGACTGAAGAGGTGTATCAAGGAGAGTACATGTGAAATGAGTGACCTCAGAGCCAAAAACCAAAGACAATGGAACTGGCCAGTGCTAGGTAGGACTGTGGGTTTTTTAATCTGTTTGATCACTTTTTTTTAGACAGCAAATTCAGGAGCAGAGAAGGTATTACAAGTCTTTAAGGACTGCAGAAAATCTTCAAAAATCAGGGAAAGATTCTCATAGAATCATAGACTCATTAAGGTTGG